TCAGCGACCCCTTTTTGATCCGTCTTTGTTGCACGAATGCGTCAATTTTTCGTTCATCTCTCTTTGTGTAGACAGCAAACGTCGAATAGCCCAGAGGGGTCATTGGCTCGACCGAGGGCCGTGACTAAACTCCAGTGTGTGCAGCAGTTCGAGGTAAGAGGTGTATTCTCTTAAGGAAAAGTTGCATCGGCAGATTGGTTGATCGGTTGATCGATTGATCGATTGATCGAGCGAGAGCGACCGCGAGCGGGGGCGAGAGCGATAGGTCAGCGGAAATGTCAACAAATGAGCATCGGGGGCGTGTTTCTCGCGGTTGCGACTAGGTGGATTCAAGAAAAAAGTCACAGTCAAATGGGGTTCTAGTCAATGCGAGCCTTCGTGGTTTTCTCTTGATGAAAATGGAAAACGTTGTGTACGATATTAACGAAATTGTGTGGGAAAGTCGGTTGTTGGTGGATGTAACGGGCAACGAGTATTTGTTCAATATAATGCCTGCTTTAATTCCACGTCTGGCTGGTAAGTTCGATGAATGGGTCTTGTCACTGTCTTGAAATCGGGACGTTTTTCCATATGTTTGAAAGTTGGGTTATTACTTTTCTCAAATTATTAGATGCCAAATTTGTTAATGGTATCCTGGAAGAGGTCCAGGCTAACAAGGTGAACCCGTCGACAACTATGACATGTCCGGACAAGATTTTAGTGTATGCAATTGCGGACCCAAATTCTGCAGATCTCGCAACAGGTGATTTGTTTAATGTTTGAAGATTTCTGGCACCTTTGCCTATTTTGGATGGCCTTGTCTCTTAATTATTGGTTACTCATGTACTGTCTCTGTTTAGTCGATGCATTCATACAGGTTCCTGAATGTTTGAGGAACACATTACCGGTACCTGTAGCTCCTCAAAGTGATGGCGCACAGCATCAGGTGGCTGCTGAGACTCCATCGAAGTCCCCGGCTCGTAAGAGAGGCAAATTTCAATCGTGTAAGGCTATTCTTGACTTGTTTAGCCAAAACATTTAAAAAAAAAAACTGTTTCTTGTGTGGTAGTGCTTTATCGGGTGAGGATATCTGTGATTACATGTATGGGCCTTTTGGTTTGCAGATGATGTAACAGGTGCCAAACAGTCTCTGGTGTCATTATTCGCCAATATGATGTCCCCTAAAAAGCAGCAGGAACCTAATTCAGAATGTAATAAGCCTCTGGTAAAGCTGCAATATTCATCCGACACGTTTACTGAGGTGCTTCAATTTGTAACAGTTTTCTTTTTCATGTGATGGAAATTAGTGTTTGCTCTAGATGTAACATTTATAAAAGTAATACTCTTTTCAGACACACTTCATGAAATGTTTTCACAAATTTCTCGGAAAACGTGGGATATTTAAGTGCACTATGTACGAACAATGTGCGGCTGATAGTTTTGTCATTGTGGAGGTACGTACA